AATTGCTCCCAGTCTAATGATAACCCAATTACTAACATCATAAACGATTAATGATGTTAATATTAACTTCTAAGAACATTCATACTTACAATAAAACAGTTATCCTAACTGGCCCATTCAAGAGGGTTAGAATATAGATCAATTGGACAAAGAATATTTAAAATTTAATATTTAAATATTAATAATTTAATAATATTTTAAATATTTTAGATTATTTTATTAATTTTCACACAATACTGGCTGTGTCACAGTTAACACTCGTACATATATAACATTGGATCCTTTCAAAACAAATAATGACCCCCGCATATGTAATAATATTGAATTAGTGCGAAACAATTTCCTTTTTGGTGTATCCTCACCCCCTTTTGCACAATTCTATCTAGGTCACTAGTGTCAGTACTACTTATTGTTACATAAATCATAAATAGAAAGATAGGAAATAAATATATTAAAAAAGATTACATAAAAAAATATATTCTACAAAAAGACTAGTTCTAAAAATAAACTAATTATGATAAAAAAAGGAAAATTATAATGGGTATATACATAATAATTTATTAATGAATATGATAACTTATAGAATTTTTATAGTTAAATGGTTTTGTTTTCTGAAATATTTTATTTAACAAATTAACAGTTGAAGCTGTCGATTTTTAATACTTAATTAGTAAATATTTTGTAAGAATTAGGTAATATTATTGATAAATTATGAGATTTATAATCGAATAGTAAAAATTAATAAATAAATATATTTTCTGCAAATATTTTCAAAATAAATACAAAGTTTATCTCATGTGCGTCAATAGATTAAAAAACCAAATGTCTGTTAAAAGTGACTATCTTCTTAATAATCTGCAAGTTAAGAAGGCATGCCTTAGATTTAATTAATAATTTTGCATTATATTTTTATTTGTAACTAAATCTACTTTCATTCACTATTATATCTATATAATGTCTTATCAACTACTTGAACACATAGAAATTTTTCGTATAAAAGCAACCACAACTCGACAAAAAGTATCAGTTGTTTAACCTTTCTCAACGATTCAGCACTATGAAATTGCTTTTAGTTTTCGCTTTGGCTTTGGCTTGCGCCTCTGCCTTTGATCTTAGATCAAATGAAATCTTCTCCCGTAGTGCCGTGATGCCAATTCTTGATGAGCCAGAGGGACGTATTACCAACGGCAACACTGCTTCAGTAGGACAATTCCCATATCAAGTTGGTCTTTCATTGAAGGTCAGTGCTATCTCCTCTGCTTGGTGTGGTGGTTCCTTGATTGGAAATTCCTGGGTATTGACTGCTGCTCACTGTACTGATGGGTAAGTTTCAAAAAAAACGAAAAAATATTATTTAAAAATATAGTTATTATTTCTAACATATCTTTACACCTTTATTTTGTTTAGTATATCATCCGTCACTGTTTACTTGGGTGCTACAGTCCGTACCTCAGCAGAAGTAACCTCTACAGTATCAAGCAGCTCAATCATTATTCACTCCGGTTGGAATTCTAAGACTTTAAAGAACGATATCTCTTTGATTAAGATCCCATCCGTATCATACAGCACCAAGATTCAAGCCGTTAAATTACCTGCAATTGCTAGCTCATATTCAACATATGCTGGTGAAAAAGGCATCGCTTCTGGTTGGGGTCGTATTAGCGATTCCGCTACCGGCGTAACCAACAATTTGCAATATGCTATAGTACCAATTATCACTAACACTGTTTGCGCTGCTACATTTGGCAGCACTATTACTTCCACCAACATTTGTATATCTACAACTGGCGGAGTATCCACCTGCAACGGTGATTCCGGTGGTCCATTGGTTTTGCAATCTAATAATATTCAAGTTGGTTTGACTTCCTTCGGTGCTGCTGCTGGTTGCGCAAAGGGTTATCCAGCTGCTTTCACACGTGTTACCAGCTACTTGGACTGGATTAAATCTAACACTGGAATTTCCTATTAAAAAATAATAAACATTGAATAAAAATGAATAAACGACTATTTTAAAAAATAATTTATATCTTTTTAATATTATAAATCGCTTACCTAAGATTAGTTAATAGTATCACTATAATTATTATAATCCCACAGTACTCGAACGTGTTTTCATTTCATGTTAAAAAATTTGGTTACCAATTCCAAGTAAAAGTGCAAATAAATTTCAGAATAGTGCTGCCGTCAGCTGTAATCTAACAGTGGGCAACTTTCTAATTATGAGCAAGCTACGTCGTTCAGTTGGTGTTTGATAGCCGTTCAAAGCAGACAACCTCGTGAATTTTTACGAATTTTCGCACCAGCACTAGTGACGCCGAACGTTTAGGTCACCCAAAAGAAGTGATCACGCCGGAAATCGTCGATAAAATTTATGAAATGATATTGGAGATCGGAGAATGAAAGTGCGCGAGTTGTCTCATGCTGTAGGTATCTCAACTGAACGGGTACATCATATTTTATACGAATATTTGGACATGAAAACACTCTCCGCGAGATGGGTGCCGCGATTGTTCACACTCGACCATAAGCGCAATCGTGTGACCACTTCAAAAGAATGTTTAGCGATGTTCAGCCGTAATCCGAACGATTTTTTGGGTCGTTTTGTTACTGTGGACGAAACATTGATCCATTACAACACGCCAGAGACCAAGAAACAATCGAAACAGTTTATTGCTAAGGGTGAATGTGGACCAAAGTAGGCCAAACAAAGTCTGTCAGTCAACAAGGTCATGGCCATAGTTTTTTGGGATGCAAGCGGTGTCATTCACATCGATTACATCGAGAAAGGTAAAACGACCTTATTCAAAGCTTTTGAACAGATTCGACGTTGATTTGAAGCAAAAACGGCCGCATTTGGTAAAGAAGAAAGTGCTGTTCCATCAAGACAATGCACGTGTGCATACTTGTCTAATCACGATGGCCAAAATCCGCGAATTGGGATACGAACTGCTATCCCATCCAGCATATTCTCCAGATTTAGCCCCCTGCGACTATTTTCTGTTTCCAAATCTAAAGAAATGGCTGGGCGGTAAGAGATTTGAGTCGAATGAAGAAGTCATTACCGAAACAAACGCGTATTTTGAGAGCTTTGAGAAAACCTATTATTTGTGAGGGAATAACAAAATTATAAAAAAGGTGATTATGTAGAAAAATAAAATGTTTATTTGCCGAAAAAAATTTGTTTTATTCAAAAAGTCACTAACTTATCAAACCGCTCTCGTAATACACTATATACTTATATGATAAAGAGTATTGAAGTCAAAGGTATAGAATCGGCTAATCTATCATTTATCTAATAATTTCTAAAGTATAATAATCTCCGTTATGTGTCAATAGCTATTTATCTTTAAAGACATTATTGCTGAGTCATTCAGAAGTTAAATACATGTCTGTAATGCTTTATAGGTTTATATATCCTTTACCGTTTTAAAATTACAACGAAACACTGACAATCAAAATAAAATACTGTTATATTATAAATATATGGATCATT